GCACAGGCAGAAGGAATCCTGCTGCAGACTTCTCCAGAGCTCCACCACAGCCTGTACTGTCAGGGGAAGAATGGCTTCCAGGGAGTCTCTGCAGGTATTGTGCAAGGTCCTCCTGGTTTACAGCTTCTGAGCGGCTCTCGTGACCCCAGTCCACAAGACCTCTGACTCCTTGGACTTAGTCTGCATTCTCATGTTCTCCGAGTCCTTGTTCAGCAGCTGCTCCTCCGCTGCCTCTGGACCTCTCTGGTTCTCAATGGCAGGAGCAAGAGTGACCTGTTGTATGGCATGTATTCCCAGGGGTTTCTCCATGTTTGAAAGATTCACACACGTCCGTGGGTGGCCATCTGCAGCCAGTGCATAGTGGGCCAATTGTGTCATTGTTTCTCTGTGTCATGGTAGTTCTCAATTGAGTGGTGGTGGCCGGCCTGAGGGCTGGTGTGCAACAGCGCTCGCAGCCACGTGGCTCCCCCGGCCCTGGGGGCCCTCCTTCCGGGCGCCTACAAGGCAGGGAGTGAGCAGGCTGAAGACTGGTACTCCTCGCCCGTGGCTCCCCGTGCGCCCGGGCCGCTCCTTCCGGGTACTTACGAGGCAGGGAGCAAGCTGGTCGGAAGACCTGCGCTCCCCGTCCATGGCTCTCTGAGTGCCAGGGGCCCTCCTTCCGGGCACCTACGAGGCAGGGAGCAAGCTGGCCAAAGACCTGCACTCCTGCCCGTGGCTTGACTTTACCATGGTGCAAAGTGATATACATTCAATAGAAGTCATACTTAGAATTCTGGTCCTTTCCTGGTCTAGTGATATGCAGACTCGTATCTCTAGCAATGCAGGGCAGCAGCAGTCAGTTATGCAATTAACAAGGACAAATGATTGACAGTGTATTGTACTATTACATTGTGATGATTGGTAGATCAGGTGTACAAAATGCATTTTGACTTACAGTATTCTCAATTTATGATGGGCTTATCAGGACACAACTCTAGGGTAAGTCAAGGAGCAACTACAAGATTATACAAAATAATTTTACCTTCATGGAGCTGATGTTTTCATGGGAGGAGTCAGATAAAAATCAAGTCAGCAAACAAAATATTTCCAAGTTGAGATATGTGTTATGAGTGAAATTATGACAGAGGTAACAGATTAATGAGAACATTCTAAGTTAGATACTATAACGGGCACAAAACATTGCAAGTGAGATACGCAGAAAGGGAGAAGCATTCAAGGTTATATGAGGCAAAAGAGACAAGTTTGAGACACTGAGTAGGATCCCTGTGACCAGGCAATAACAAATGAGAAGCAAGTTGCTAAATATGATGTGGAGATAGGCAGAAGCAGATCATGTTACCATAAAGAGTTTGAATTTTATTCTAAATTCCATCAGATAAGGTCACCTTAATCTTCCTTTGATCGATGCTACAAAATTAACCACATACAGATATTCATTTCCTTTTTTCCTCTGCCTCAACAAACAGAATCTTTTGACTCAAGAGATGGTAGAAATGAGACCGGGCCATAAATTGCAAGCTATATACCCCTGCACAAGCAAAGCTTTATTGGGGTGAAAGGGAAAGGATCTTCAACTGAAGGGAGATGACAATTGGTTGAGAGAGGGGCCAAGCTGCTCAGAACAAAAAGCAGCAGGATTTTATTGATTTGTGGACTAAAGTACAGTAGTTCCCATTGGCCAGGGGCACGTTTCCAAAATATCTTTCTTCTTGTGACAGACTTGGACCACCAGGTGATCATCGTCAACTTGTCCTAGAGTTGTTGCATTTTTTGTGCAGCTGGCACCATCATCCTGTGCAAAATATCCTGGCCTTGTGGATCTGGGTCCCATGATAAGGCTAACAGGGCCAAAGACTTCAGCTGCTTGGGATTTTGGGGCTTCTGTAGAAACACAAAGGTGCAGGCAGAAAGTAGTGGATATGAAAAGAAAATACATACCAGATTCAGTGGGCAATAGGCCAAGTTAATCTTATATTACAGTCTTGGAAAAACATTTTTAAATGATTAACTATCTACATGCAGAACTGAGTAGACCAAAAGGTTAAGAGCAAAGGTGACAGACACAATGTAAGACAAGCCCTTTACAGCATTTTAGTCAACTATCAGATATCTGTAGGCTTAAGGGTCAATGTTTTTAGCAAAAGTGACCTTTAGATGCCTGGGAAGTAACCAGGCAACTGTTATCATCATTCACACGAGGGATGTCACAGCAAGGCTAGTGGGAAGCTAACATGGTATGCCAGCTGCATGAGTTTTAAAACTGGTGATTATAATTTACTAAAAGCAAGTGAAGCTAGAGGACTGATTTAGGGTTTTCCATGATAACAGTTTCTCATCCCATGCAAACATCTGGAGATTTTTGTCAGGGTCTTATGGTGGGTCTGTTAAAAGAGCACAGAATAGAGAAATAACATGTCATGCCATAAAGGGTAGTATTTTACTGTACCCAGGGACTTATCTTGTCTTCCCAGCCTCCTGTGCCACTAATGCTGGTCCCTAACTATCTCACTGTACTTAGCCCCTTTGGCTATTTGCTCTATTCTGAATCTTTGTTCCCAATGAATCAGTCTTGTCAACCAACATACAAGATACTTTAGCGTCTTCTATCTTTAAAACATACCTAATGAGGTACTATATTTCCTAATGGCTTCTGAACTACTTTGAAGTGTTCCTTCAGTCTTGGGGGCTTAAAAATAGTATGTATGCTGACTATCAAACAAGATCTTTTTGTGCAGCACTAATCTTACACTACAGGGATATTCTTATATATAGAATTATCAACTTAATGACTCTAATACTTAGATGTAAAAGCAAACAACCCTCATTCATGGGTTATCCACTGGTCTTCCTCATTGCAGTACATAATCTCACCAACCACCCAGATGTTTAGATCCCCAAACCAGTTGCCATCTGTGACCACTTTCCTTTATTTTTTTATCCAGTTCATTGGCAAATTCTTCTGTTTTAACTAAAAAATGTACTTCCTTGCTGCCTTTGCTGCTTTTCTCTAACGTATTCTCTACACACCAGGCAGAGTGGCTACTTTATTTACTTTAATACAGAATAGTTTAAAGACACTTTATAAATTGTGGTAAAATAAGCTTTTATTATAATGTAAGAAGTATACACTGTATGCGGCAAACAGAATACACAAAACAGGTAAGCATAAAGAAAATAAGATTAGGATTTAACACTTTAGAGTACAACTCATTTTTGTAGTACATAAATACACACATGTATTTTTTAAAAAGCAGATATTGTAACATAATGCCATTTTATGACTTACTTTTTTCAGCTAATAATCTCTATCTTTATTTGTCAATAGTTTCAATTTATCTAGTAGTCTCTCTGACTTTTCTTTTTTTTTGTTTTTTTGAGACAGGGTCTCACTCTGCAGTTCAGGCTGGCCTTGAGCTCACTTTGTAGATCAGGCTAGCCTCAAACTTGGAACAATCCTCCTGCCTCAGCCTCCCGAGTGCTGGGATTACAGATGTGTGCCACCACACCCGGCTTCTAGTAGTCTCTCTGTACTCAAATTTCAACTGAAAAATGTAATAGATAGTTTGTATAGATCAGGATCCAGTTCAAGTGGTAATACGCCTTACATTTCTTTGCATAAAGCAGTTGCTTTTTTCATGGCAGTAAATCTTTAAAGAGATGTAACAGTTATCTTCAGGACTATTCCACCTTCTAAATTTTCTTGACAATTTCTTCTAGTACAACTTGTTTGTTCATCTGTCTGCTGTATTTATTGTGTGTCAGATGCAAAAGCTTAATAGATTCAGGTATTTTCACCTAGGATGTATCAGAGATGATATTGTATAGCTCACATTACATTCCGTCAAGAGACAAAATATCAGATTAATCTATAGGACAGCCTTTTTAAATGTGTAAAAGGTAAATTTTTTAAGTGCTACTTATAGCTTCTTTTTTGCATACTGACAAAATGAATTCTTTAACTTGGCTCAAAAGGTTTTGAACTATTAAATACCTGCTTACTACTTCAACTTTCATTCTGTTCTCTTATTTTTTAAAAAATTCTTTGGTACTGGGTATTAAGACACGGGCCTCTGGATGTTAGGCAAGCATTCTTAAGTTTTTTTTTTTTAAGCATACAGTATTTTACTTTGAGACAAGGTCTCACTAAGTTGCCCAGGCTGGCCTTGAACTTGCCATCCTTTTCTCTCACCTTCCCCAGGGGCCAGGATTACAGGCGCGTGCCACCACGCCTGGCTTGTGCTTACTTTTTAAACTTTTGCAACAAAATTTATTTCTACTCTCCGGACATATGAAGTGCTTTTGGTCTGAGAGGCTCTCCCTTGCGCATCAATTCCTCTCCACTCTCCTTCTTACAATGTCAAGCATCTTTCTAAACTACAAATGCCATTTTAAGTTCACCTGCTCAGAGAAAGCCTTCTTTGATTAACTTGTTTAAAATTTGGTTTTTAGGAGCACTTCAAAATCTTAAATCTCAAATCTCAAGTACTGTTAATTTTCCTCTCCTCGTGGCATTTTTTTGTTTATATTACTGGGTTCTTCCCCAGCTCTGTAATCTGCACACAGGCAGAGACGGGGCCAATTAGGCTGACTGTACACAGAATCTGCACACATCAGACCAGCGATAGTAGCTTGAACGAATTAGCACAGATCACAATATCCCTGAGGCTGCAAGGTTGTAGGCAGGTGGAAGTTGTGGGCACAGGGAAGTTGTTCAAATGGAGGAATACTTACTCTTACGTGAAAGTGCTCAGTCCACTCATGCGGACAGTAAGAAAGGCGAGAATTGCAGATGCAGAGTCAGCGCACGCTAAGGTGCGCACAGGTAAGCGGCGTCGCCACGGCGCCCTCACGTGACCTCGCGCGGCGCGCGCCCTTCTGACTGCGCCTGCGCCTGCGCTCCCGGAAGTGACCAGATCCGAAGCGCAGGCGGAGCGCACGTCCGTCAGCCCGTCGGTCCGCTGGTCCGCCGCCCGTACCCCGAGCGCCTCGGCCCTCCTCGCTGTCCCGCCGTCTTTCTGGCCCAAACTGTGGCCAGGGTACTCATCATGGCGACATTCATCTCGGTGCAGCTGAAGAAGACCTCGGAGGTGGACCTGGCCAAGCCGCTGGTGAAGTTCATCCAGCAGACCTACCCGAGCGGCGGGGAGGAGCAGGCCCAGTACTGCCGCGCGGCCGAGGAGCTCAGCAAGCTGCGCCGCGCCGCCCTGGGCCGCCCGCTGGACAAGCACGAGGGCGCCCTGGAGACGCTCCTGAGGTGGGCGCGGGCGGAGGGGGAGGTCGCGCAGCCCGCCGCCCTGGCCGCCTCCCTTCCGCTTCCCGGGCTCTAGCGGGGTGGAGGCCGCGCCCCGCCGGGCGGGGGCGTAGGTGTGGTCTGCGTTCTTTTCCCGCAGCCGGGCCGACCCTGCCCTGCGTCTGTCCGCCCGCCCACCCGCTCCCGCGTGGGTGGCCGGGGCTCCCGCTGAGGGAGGAGTAGCTGCGTCCTCCCGATCGCTCTCCTTGACTAGTTTTCCCTTTTCTTTGCGACTCTTAACTGAAGGCTTTCTTCTCCCCCTTTTCCTGTCATGTCTAACGACTTTCTGGGCCAGGTCTAAATTCTATAATAGTGGCTGCTTTGGGGAAGTGGGGGAATTGGGACACTGGACCAAATAGCTCTTTTATTGCTTACTACGTTGTTAACTTGAAATGGATCATCTTAAGTTCAAAATAGAAGACAGATGGAGAATTCTAGAAGTGAGGAGGTACATTTATTTGATATAAAGCTTGAGTGACAATGTTCAGCATAGGCTACTTAAAATTAGTTTACAGCCAAGTGTAAGTGATGGGATAAATTTATTTTAGCAAATGTTTATCAACCTCATTTTGTATTTACTTTTATTTATTTACCTGTTTGGGGTTTTTTTGAGAACAGGTCTGGCTATGTAGTTTAGACTGGCCTTAAACTCACTATGTTAGCCTGAGCTTACCTCAGACTCTAAAGGATCCTCCTGTCTCAGCCTCCCGAGTGCTGGGATTACCTAGTGAGTTGCCACTACGCTGGGCCAACCTCATGTTGTATTTAATGAGAGTTCTTTTAGTGGTGGTTAACAGTTACAGATGACAACATTTTATGATCTCATTTCCTGTGTGTAATACATTCTCCTTGTTCCACAGAGAGAAACACAGTTGTATTAAGGTCCAAATATTAGAAACCCAGGTTAAACTAGCTGAAGCTAAGAAAAGACATTTTTGTGCCTGAAAAGTTTGGGGAGATTCCTTCCTAGGCGTTAGGCACCACTGCTGATCTTGCCTTCACGACGCTTTTTCTTAGGTGAGCTTTGTCCGTGTATTGAGAAGTGGCCACTACCAGCTCTTAGAGTAATTGTGGTCCACAACCCTATGCTTTCTCCTTAGCTCTTTGATAGTCCTCTAAGGCCTCTAATTTGGTTGGTTTCCAGCCACTTGTAATGGAGAATAAAATTCAACGATCTTTGCTGGGGTCAACCCTCTGGTTTAACCTCTCCATCCCCCATCTGTCAAAGCAAGATTAGTTTGGACAGGGCAAGGATTGGGTTCCCCAAAGGAAGAGATACTGAACAGATTGCTCGGAGGTTATGACTTTGCAGTATCAGTTTTAAAGCTAAAACTAACTGTTAGGCTGCAAGGATTATTAGTCTGATCCTTAACATAAGCACTTTTTTGAGTTAACCTAAGAATAGTTAGCCTTTTCATTTCCTTTTCTTTCCTTGTTTTTTTTTTTTTCTTTCGTTTCGTGAGACAAGGTCCCACTTTTGTAGTCCAGGCTGACCTTGAACTAGCCATATAATTCATATTGGCTTTAAATTTGAGATCCTCCTACCTCGATTTTCTGAGTGCTGGGATTATAGACATGTACCTTTACACCCAGCCCACTTGGCCATTCTTTAGGATTAACAAATTTAAAAGATTTTCAAAGCAATTTTTATGTAGGCTGAGTGACATTCAATGGGGATTTTCATTTAGAAGTTTTAAGAACACAGCCAAGTAGTGCTGCATGCCTGTAATTCCAGCTGCGTGGGAGGCCAAGGCTGGAAAACCACGGGTTTGAGGCAGGGGTGGACAAGTTAGCAAGATCCTGTTCCAAAAAATTAAAAAAGCTGGGGATGTAGCTCAGTGATAGAGCACCCCTGTGTTCAGTCCGCAGTCAATGTTTTTCAAAAAAGCATATTTGTGGTATAATGAACCTTAAAATATTTTGTTGAATATTTTAGGTTTGGTTCCAGTGCTAAAGGAGCTTAGGGTCTTCAGAGGAATTATTTGCCCCATGGTTTTAAAATAACAAAGACTGATAGTGGCTAATTCAGATAACATTCTGCTGGGAGCTTAAGAAAGTCATTCATGTGTTCGTTTTTTCTTTCAGTAGCATGCATGTGGAAACTTTGGTGGTGGAGACCAGAGATGGTCTCCTTGCAACTATATTTCTGTAGGCACTTATATATATAATCCTCTTCCAGCATAGTCATTCAACAAATAATCAGATTTTTTCTTTTTGCTCTTTTAGTGGGACCCTTATGCTCTTTTTGCTCTTAGTAAGCTAATAAAATTTATGATGGAATTGTGTGCAAAAATTCTTTGGGTATCCCTTTGGTTTACTCTTGAATCAGATATTTCTTGGGTATATTTAAGATAGTTGTCACATAGTTGTGAGATAGCATTCAAGTCAAGCAGAATATCTTATTTTTGATACTTATGTTTGATAAATGTGTAAAATGAACGTTAATTTATGTTTTTTAGCTTAATGAACTTTTAAAGTAACAAACTGAAAAATAAGCTCTGCATACAGCTCTGCATACAGCTCTGATGATAAATTTACCTTTCTGTTAGTAACTTGTAACTATTCATTTTCCTAAAATACGCATAAATGTGTACGATTCTTACAGGAATGGTTACTTAAAAACTCATTCATATAACACTTCATCCTTATAAAGTGCCTTTACTAAAAACTAGTTAGAAGAGCCTTGGTGAACTTTAGGGTGACCAGGTGGGAATACTATTGGTTTTTTTATTTTGGTTTTGGAAGTTACATGTACAGCATTGTGTCATTTGTGGTAATCAGTTTCTTTAGAGAGAAAGACTCTAGTTTCCTTCCATGAAATTGTCTGGTTGTCATTTTTGTGAAATTTGATCAAGATGAATGGCAGTTGAGAATCATGTATGCAGACTTTTGTCTTTTATTTTTAATATAGCATTTGTATTAGGGTTAGATTCAACTGTTACGTTTTAGAATCTAAATTATCAGGGAGTTAAATTGAGATTTTATTCTTATATAAAAGATTAGCAGGTAGGAGGCTCTGGTAGTCCAGGGATGGTGGTTTTGTGAGGTTCTTTGAGGCTCAGACTTCCTTCAGCTTGGTAAAACATACAGTATGGTCCTTGTTTTCGTGGCCTGAGTAGCATTCATACCCAAGTTCCAGACAGTAGAGTTTGACAAGGAAGAAAGCCATAGGGCTCTGGCTCTAGGATGTTTCTTGGAAACTGCCCCAATACATCCTGCTTATGTGTTACTGGCCACTATGGATGCCCACATCTCATAGAAAGAATGCTAAGAAAAAGTTTCTATTATGAGCAACTTGTACCTGCTAAAAATTTGAGTTTTGTTAGTAAGGAAGAAGGGAAGAACCTTCAGCCTGTTCATCCCTGCTTTGAAGTGCTTGATATTCCTAACAGTTTTCTGAGAGTGAATCTATCCTCAGGTGGAGGATCTGGGAGCCTGAAGATTGTTTTCAATCACACCTTGTCTTTTGAGTTGCAGATTGAAAAGTCTGTCCTTTATAGTACCACATGTGCCGGGGATATAGCTCAGTGGCACAAGTGCCTACCTGGCAAGCCCAAGGTCCTGGTACCGCCCCCCCCCCCCAAAAAAAAAGACTGTAGTACCACATACTTCTTAATTCAGGTTCTTGTTGGCTTCTTTGATATGATTTGGCTTGTTTGTTGATTCCCTTCCAAATTCTTAGGCAATTTTGATTTCAGCTTTCTCTGGTATTATTCACTTTTCCCTTTTTTGAAAATATTGTTGAAACTTCTTGTGTGCTGTTGTGCCCTTTCTCATTCTCTTTATCCTTGCATGTTGTGCTTTTGTGGGAGGGTGTTGCACTTTGCATCGGTTTTTGTATGGAGTGTGAGGACAACTCCAGTGAGTTAACACTGTAAGCCTTGGAGATCTGGCTGGAGTGTTCCCTGTGCTGCATTCTGCCTGTTGTTTCCAGTGCTTGCCTCCTTGGCCAGTGGCCTTGCTTAACTGCTACCCAGGCTTGCTCTGGTGCCACCTTCACATTGGGTACTCTGTTCAGCAACAGCTTGGCATCAAGTAGTGGAAAGTCACTCGGGGATTTGACATCTGAGCACAGTACCTTGATTCCAGTCACCTGTGCTAGGTGCCCAAGATGAAATGTCTGGGCTTCCTTGGAAGAGAGATTCCTTGCAGGAATTTGGATGTTGGGAAATTGAGCATTTTGATCACTCCTCCCCTTGTACGTGGCTCTTCTTCAGAAAATGTCTGCAGCTGATGGCAGTTGGACATCTATGTACCCAATGTGCTCACCACTAGGATAGTCCTCAGCAAAAAGGCTACAGAGTAAGAGTTTCTCTATTATTATGTAAGTACTCACATACTTTCTTTGATTTTACCTTTTACCCAGAAAAGTCTAGAATAATATTTTTTGGCAACAGCTTGGCAATCCTTGCTCTGTAGCCACACTGGCCTCTTTGCCACAACCTCACATACCTACAGGCATTCTTGTTGCCTTACGCCTTTGACGCTTGTTCTTCCTTGTAGACTCTTTGGGAAGTTCCTGTTCATTATCAGAGCAGAACTTTAGGCTTTACTTCTCAGAGACAGGAAAAAAGATTGCTTTTTGAAAACGGCATTTTCTTTGGGTGGTCTTTTTTTTAGGACCAGCAGCAAACCTAAGCAAAAGACATACTACCTGCTGTCATAGAATTTAGAATGTGAGAAGAGATGTTAATAATGGTCCTACAAATAATACATTATGAACTGGGATAAATTCTATGAAAGAAATGTTCAGGGTTTGAGAAGTTATAAACTGAGGAGGAACTAATTTTAAAAAGGGATTATATTGACTAAGGTGTCACTTTTGCTGCCACCATGGGGACATGTTGGTCTGTGATGCTGTCATCTGTTGACTGCAGATAGCTTCCTGATTTCTCTCCTTTCCCCTTGCATACTTGCAGTTGCTTATATAGCAGCCAGGGCAACTGTGAAGATAAATTAGATCATGTGACTCTTTTGTTTAAACTATCTGATGGTTTGTCTTCTCACTCACCGATATAATAAAAGCCAAAAGTTTTACAGTTTCACTCACGTATTACTTTTTTTTTTTCCTTTTTGCGAACTGGAGGTGGAACCCAGGGCCTTCACTTTGAGTTACATCCCTGGTCCTTTATTTTAGGAGAGAATCTTGCTAAATTGCCTAGGCTGGGCTCAGACGTGCAATCTTTCTGCCTCAGCCTCCAGAGAGCTGGGATTATAGGCATGCACTACTACACCTGTTGTTATTTCTTTGACTTTGTTTCCTTCTGTTTTTTTCACTCACTTTATGGCTGTGTTGGCTTCCTTGTGATTCTAGAAACATTCCCAGGCACACTTTCATTCCAGAATCTTGGCCCTGGCTCTGCCTAGACTTCTCTCTCAGCAGTTTTGTTCACTCCATCATTTCCTTCAGGATTTCTCCATTCATGATGTTCTCAAATTAAAAACAAAATTTAGTTAAATGGCCATCTTACTTAAAACAGCAATCTCTTTACCTCACTGTATACATACTTTATTCTCTTACCTTTTTTCTCCATAGTGCCCAACACTATCCTATATTTTTTCTTTTTTTCTTTTTTTTGTCTTTTTGAGAAGGGTCTCGCTATGCAGTTCAGGCTAGCCTTGATCTCATTTTATAGCCCAGGCTGGTCTCGAACTTGCAATGATCCTCCTGCCTCAGCCTCCCGAGTGCTGGGATTACAAAAGTGCTGGGATTATAAGCATGTGCCACCACACCTGGCTCTTTCCTTCTCAAAGCTTCACAAGTACACATATTTTTAAATGTTTACTGCTGAATTTGTATACCCAAGAATTGTATTTGGTTTATAGTAACTGTAGTTGAACTCAGGACCTTTGAACTGGGCACCATCTCCAGGTCTCCCCTCTTAATCCTTCTACAAAACATTTTTTGAGACAAGGTTTTGCTAAATTGCCCAGGCTGGGCTCCAACTTGTGATTTTCCTTTTACAGCCTGAGAAAGTGCTGGATTATAGATAGGGTTGTTCTGCCATTCCTGGCACAAAGTCTTCTTTGAAGGCATACAAGCTCAGAATAAAAAGTGAGAAATAGGGGAAAAGGATTCAAATATAAAAGAACAATGGGTGAAGGTCCTGAACTAGGAGACCATATAATTTAGTGACTTGAATGCACAGTGACTATCCTGAGATAAAGCCAGAGAGTTGGATGATGGCTAGGTAATGCAAGACCTTATCAAAATGAAGCATAATGAGAATCCTTTAAAGAGTTTTAATACTTAATACTTTGAAGTTTGCCTGCTACATAAATCTTTCTTTTGGTGACACTGGGGATTGAACCTGAGGCTTTTACTCTGAGATACATTTAAAGGGCCCCTTCCCTCAGCCTTTTTTTTGAGACAGGTTCTCATTAAGTTGCCAAATTGCCTAGGCTTGGCTTGAATTTGGGATCCTCCTGTCTCGGTGCTGGGATTCTAAGTGTGTATCACTACACTTGGCTATAGCGTAATTCTTCTGTAACTTTTATAATAACCGAATTGACATTGATTAAGTCTTACTACTTAATCCATAGAATTCATTCAAATTTTGTTGATTTTCTCAATAATATTGTTTACAGATCTGGGAGATCATGCATTGCATTTACTATATATGTCTCGTTTGTCTCCTTCAATCTGGAACAGTTCCTAATTTTCTTTCATAACCTTGACAGTTTTGAAGAGTATAAGCTACTTTATAGAATGTCCCTCAGTAAGGTTTTGTTTCATATTTCCTTGTGATTTATGCATTTTTACATAAGTATACTGGTGAATCGATGCTGAATTCCTTTTAGTGCATATCAGGAAAACATGATAGTGATGTGTCCTTTTAGTGGTCATGTTAATTTTTATCATTTGGTTAAAATAGTGTTTGCCAGGTTACTTGACTTTATAGTTGATGAGTATGGTGTCAGAAGTTTTTTCCACATAGATACTTTAAATCTGTGTGACACCTTGTTTCTCATCAAACTCATTATTTCTAGTATCCATTGATGAATCTTACAGGAATCAGATATTATACTAGTCTAAAAGCTGCCAGACAGCAATTTTTCTACCGATCATTTCTTTTAGATTAATTCACTGGCATTTTACAGTGGAGTGGAACTTTCTCTGTTCATCTCTGTTTACTTCACAATACTGTTTGAATTTTTTTCAACAGATTATGTTTGCTAGTGTTACTTATTTTATTTATTCTGAGGTCCAGAAAGCTAGTTTCAGGTTTTTTTTTAAACATGGCCTTATCTCTTTTTGTGTTTTGTCACCAGTTTGTTGAGATATGATTCACTTTCATCAAAAAAAAATTGTCAAAATTAAAATTGTCTCCAAAAAATGATCACAGTTTACAGGGAAACATAAAATTGACAGTTCTATATTTATAACATACCCTATGCTAGGTGTGTTAATATTTACTTTCTCAAGGTTTCTGTTTTTTAGTGCATTTTCTGGCCCTTCTTTCAAACTGGCAGGAAAACTATGAGGCAGGCACTCCTGATTTTTACACCCTGTTTGCTGTTGTGCTGCTGCTGTTTGCGCCCACACCTAAGGTGTGTTACAGTGTTTCAAAAGTTCTTCCAAATGGAATCACACCAATTCTCAGAATCATTGTCTGTGTTCATCATCCTCTGTGACAGGCACTGATTTAGATAAGGCTTATCTCCTGAAGATTGGCAAAATCCAGTGTGTGAAGACAGCACTAACTTTTCAGTCACAGGTTTAACTTTCTGTTAATCACTGCTTCCTTGTCTATAGAATTCTGATCATCATCTTTTATATCAGAAGCTTTATCTTTTTTTGAGTACTTCATCACTTTTTTTTCCCGAGACAGAATCTTGCTATGTAGCTCAGGCAAGCCTTGAATTCACGCTGTTCCTTCTGTTTTAGCCTTCCGAGTATTGGAATTACAGCTATGGCGCCACCATGCCTGACCCAGCTTCATCACTTTTTGGCATAGCCAGATATTTTAGGTTTGAGTCTTAAATCTTCTCAATTTTATCCACAGTGTTAACCTTTTCTGTAAGGTTATTCACAAGAGCTTCTTTTAATGCAGGACATTCTTTGTCTGGGCCCTAGGTATGCTTATTGCTGTTGTGAAGTATAACCACCTCTAGTCTCTTAGCATATACATTTATGAATCACATACCTATTTATGTATTTTTCTTTCTACTACAGTAAAAGATGAGTTCACATTGATTCTTCCAGTCCAGCCCCAAGCCAGCACTAGTCTTGTCCCTTCCCATATTTATTATTCTTTTCTCTGATAGTGAGAAATCTGTCATCTATTATCTTTAATGTGTACATTCAGTTGCTTAGTTTTTCCTGTTTGTAACCCAACTCATGGCCATGCCAGCCAAAAGCTTAGTTTAAGATATTACTTGCTTATTCCCACACACTAAACCCTGAAAACTTTACCCCAGAAATAACCATTGGAAAGAGGCCCAGGGAAGGTAGAAGAGAATTAGGGAAGGTTAAGAAAGGGTAGAAAGGAAGAAAAGATTAGAGACCATTTACAAAGCTTGGTCTTGACCCTCTTCCCCTTCCTCTTTCATCACCTTACTGGCTGAAAGCTTACCCCGATGAGGGGGGAGACTGCTTCATGTTTAGTGATCGTTCTGACTGCTGTGTGGAGAATATATTGGAAAGGAGAAAGGAGACAGGAAGATTGGCTGGGAAACCTGGATTAGTCTACCTGGGAGAGATGAGCTATGTGAACTTTGATGAGCTGTGTGGCAGTGCTGGACAAACCTAAAGAAGTGGACAAACCTCCAGCACATTTGAAAGTTGACTATCTTGTTTTAATCAGCAATTTAGCAAAGATACTGATTTCCAATGCATATAAATATTAACTTCATAAGTATTTTAAGAAATAATGTAGTTTCCAGATCACATGATAGCTTATTTTTAACCAATAAAAGTTGATACATATTTTTCTGTTCTCATAGGTATGAATTTTTTAGTCACTTTTTTTTTTAGTGCAGACATTTTAACTTGTCTTTATACTTTAGCAGATTGTACATTTACCTTGAAATAACTGACGAAATTGGTTTTGTAGGCCACTCCAGTTAAGCTACTTCAATAATAAACCAGTTGTATTTACAGGAGTATGTCATATTTAGCCCAGCTAATTACTGATTTTGTTTTTCTTTTTAGATATTATGATCAGATTTGTGCCATTGAGCCCAAATTCCCATTTTCTGAAAATCAGGTAAGTTACTAATTTTATTTTAAAGTCATATGATAATTGCAGATTACCCATTTCCTTCTGTCCATGGTATCATTTTATTGAGATCAGTGATTCTTCCTACTACCTTTAATCTTTTATAAGATAGTTTTATATTAATTAAAAGGTTTTAGGTCTGTCTGATAGAAATCTGTGTCCTTATGGAGGGTCTTCTGGAATTCTATTCGTGTAATTCTTCCCAGTCTTGTGGGGCTCATATAGAGCATAGGACTGTTTTATATTAATAGAGGAGCTAGAGATTGATTAATGTGACCTGCTGTGTCCTTCTCCATGACTTTTACAGAATTAAGGAAACTACATAATTCAGGCTTACTATTCTGTGTTTAGTGGTTAAAAGTTACTGACACATTGTATTTGCATGTAAAAGTTGCAAATGCTATTCTGATTGATGTTATAATATAATAAGCTCAACTTTGTTTCCTCCTAAAGTCTAGTTGTTGGAAATACAGATGATTTCTTACAGTTTTATTTGATATTTGGGAGATTTGAAAAAGGGTTTTTTTTTTGTTTCTTGTTTTTGTTTTTTTGCAGTACTGAGGTATATGGGACTTCTACACTGAGGTATATGCTCAACCTTTTTTAAAAAAAATATTTATTTTGAGACAGATTCTCGCCAAGTCTAGAGTCGGACTTGTGATCTTCCTTCCTCAGCCTTCCAGAAAGCTGGAATTATAGGTCTGTGCCACTGTGCCTGGCTCTGATAAAAGTTTTTATAGTATGTGGTACTTTTAAATTTTAAAGTAGTACAAGAGAAGTACTTTAAGCATTTTTTTACTGAAGTTTTTATAGGTGAAATACTTGTGTTTGTTTTTTTTTCATTTTTTCTTCTGGTACTAGGAATTGAACTTATGACCTTGCGCTTGCCAGGCAGGTGTTGTGCCACTGAGCTAAATCCCCAGCCCCTGAAATACTTTTATATTGAGGTTTGCTTTAAAATGCTCCAGAAAAAATGTGTGTATGGATGGGGGATGGGGTGGGGCAGGGAAACTGGGCAGCATGTGAATCAAGAGGAGCAAAAGACTAGAGCTGCTGAGAGTATCCAGGAGTTTATTGTGCTAATCTTTCTGTTTTTGTGTATGTTTAAAATTTTTCCTGCTCTAGACTTAGAAAATTTTTTGTGTTTGGATGTAATACATAATTTAAATGAGGTGCAGGTCTTGTATGTATATATGTATTTTTGTGGAAGTGACTATAGAATTCAGAGCCTTCAGCATGCTAGGCATATACTTTACTGCTGAGCTATATTCCTAAGCTCTGAAATTCTTTTTAACTTTTATATGTAGTATACTTGTTTTAGAAACACAGTTTTTTTAATTAAAATGTTATTTGTAATATACTACCATACAGAAAAGTGAACAAATCATGTGTATAGCTTGAATCTTCACAAAGTGAATATGCTTGTATCACTACCACTCAGATCAAAAAATAAAATATCTCTTCAAAGAAACCATTCTCCATCTTTTGTAATAGCAGTTTTTAATTTTATCTCCTAGCAAACCTGTAGTGTGTTGTTGGCTATATTTTTTTCGCTTACTTGGCAAGTATTTATTAAGAACTTGTTCTGTTGAAGCCATGGTACATTTGTAAAGATCGGTAAGATAGTGTTTATGATTATAGACACAATGACCACTCGAAGTATCCAAGTGTCACTATTCCACTTTAAAAAATTTATGATGCAGAAGAAAGAAAAAGAATTGATGGGTTAGAGAAGATAGTATCTTAAGACAGGTTGAGCTTTTGTTTTTTTCTCCTTGTAGATTTAGCAATTAATGAGCTCCAAGATGGTAAAATAATTTTGTTTTCTCCCATTCTGTTCAGATATGTTTGACATTTACCTGGAAGGATGCTTTTGATAAAGGTTCACTTTTTGGAGGATCTGTAAAATTGGGTATGTATTTTTAATAGAAATGATAGGAAACATGATCAAAGCATTTTGTATTGTTTTAGTTTTCCAAAATTGTTCTTCTAGCGACTCTTTGTAAGTACTAAAATTTTTTATATTTCATTTTCTTAAACTTTAATGCTATTTCAAAATATTTATAGAGAGCCTATGCCTTGCCAGGTACTGTCCTAGTTGTAAAAATGAGTAAGATTGTTGTGTTCAGTGTGTTTAGGAAGATAACTGATCATTGTAAAGTCCATTATGTACTGTGTAATGTGTGACATCTGCTGCATGATGTTTTGTTCTGTGACATGATGGTGGGCTTCATAGGTTATGCTGTCTGTTGATACAGTCATCTTAATTTGTGTAGAAGTATGATCTGGTGTTTGATGTATTCTGGTTTTGTTTTGTTTTAAGATGTCTCACTATGTAGTTTACACTGGTCTTGCACTCACCATGTAGCCCAGGCTGTCCTTGAACTCATAATCCTCTTGCCTCAACCTCTCGAGTGCTGGGATTATAGGCATGTGCCACCATGCCCAGCTCACATGTATTCCATGATATTCACAAAATGATGCTATCACCTATGGGCTTGATTCTTAGAATGTATTCCTGTCATTAAGTGAGGCGTGACTTTATATCGGTCTTTGGACAAACTTTTGGTAGCACAAATGAAGATGAAGTGAATTCTACCTACTGAAAGCAAGTAGTGTTTGGATCAGGTGTTGAAAGACCTGAATTTTTTTTTCCAGGAATAAAATAATATTACAGATATAACATAACCAAAGGTCAAAATGGTATCTCTCATGTGCCTTAATTTACTCATTTCTGGGGTTCCTGTATGGATTAAAGAGTGAAAATCTGTAAAGTCGTTAGAACAGTGCTAAGTATTAGGTACAATGAATGGTAATCAATAATAATATTTTGTAACATATATAAATAAATAAATCTGTGATACACATGCATGAGTGCCCAACTCTTTGGCTAGCTTGGGCTGTATTGAATGAAGAGGAATTGTCTTGGACCACGTATGAAATACAGAGAGTAGTTAATGTATGTAAGTAACAGCCGGCCGTGGTGGTGCAGGCCTGTAATCTCAGCACTCTGGAGGATGAAACAGGAGGATTGTTCTGAGTTTGAGGCCGGCCCGGGCTGCAAAGTGAGTTTTAGGCCAGCCTGAACTGCATAGCGAGATCCTGTCTCAAAGAGACCAAAAAAAAAAAAAAAAGTGTCTGCTTAATTACTCTAAGTGCCTATCTTTATAGGGACACTTATCTGTAGTTGGTTGAAATACTGTTACTGGTGATTGCTGTGTTTTACTCCAAGCCATACAAGTGTGAGTAACATCAGATACATGCAGGTTTCCATTCGACTGACTGTGGGTGTGGGCACAGGAGGAAAGGCACTGTTCTTTCCAATTGAGCAGACTAATTTAGAAGAGTAAGTGATTGCTAAGGTAATACTACTAGAATTTAGTGAAGCTGAGAGATGAATCCAGAAAGCCTAACACCAGGGACTAGAAAGAAACAGACCAACTTCTGATGAGAGATAATGAGGTTAGCCCAGGTAATAGATATGGTTTAGAGTAGAAGATATGGGCTTAGGAAACATTTCAGTTTCAGAGGTGAGATTGACAGAGGGAAGAGGAAGAGACGCTAAACCATTTCGACATTTATTCTTTTTAATAGGTTGGATTTAAATTTTTCTGTTTTCTGTTTGGGTGGAAAAATTCCCTTGGCATTAGAAGTAGTGGATTTAAAGCTCAGAAGAGGTAGAGATGTAGATTTGGAAACCATTGTCACTAGGTGATAATAAATTTATCCCCTCTGGAAGGTAAGAGAGAGGTGTTAAAGTTGGAGTTCGTGAGTGTAATCGGAGGAAATAGAGGAAGAGGTTCTAGGAATGTGGCTGAGAAAAAGCTTTCAGTTTTAATGGTGATGTAGTCATTGTTTCCCAAGCCTGACTGCATATAGAATTACCTGGTGAAAAAATTAAATATACAGGGTGTCCTACAGGTGTGATAGGTGGAAATTGGGAGGGGCACTGGAATTAGTGTTTTTCAAAATATCTCCAGGTGACTTGGCTGATTGTACAGGTTGAGACATTGACAGAGTGATTGTGGCAAAGGTAAGGGTTGTCTTAGTCACTTTCATTGTTGCTGGGACAAATACCCGACACCCATAACTTAAAGGAGGAGAGATTTATTTGGCTCATGGTTACAGTCCATGATTGGCTGGATCCAAGGGAGAATGGTGTGGCACAGGGACATAGCAGAGGAAGAGCTGCTCACACGATGGTGACCTGGAAATAAAGAAAGGAGGAGCAAGGGAGGGAGGTACAGTCTTCCAGGTCACACCCCCAGTGACCTGCATATTAGCTGTCATGTCCCCAACAGTTCAGTCAACATCTGTGAGCCCTGCCTCTGAATGTGTGAGGCTCTTGTGGAGACATTTAGATGTAAACCATAAGAGCAAATGAGGTTGAAAAGTCCCTGGATTTGGCAGAGTTAGTAGGAGCATGCTGAAGAATTGAAGTTGGTCAGGGAGTAGATGTAAGGCCCGTAAGGAAGTGTAAACAGCAAGCCTGGGTTGCTCATTGTAGAACATTTGCAGAAAAGATTAAAGGACAAAGGGAACATTATGCTGAGAAGGAAGCAAGGTGAAGAAAAGTATTTTTAGTGCTTTTGTGACTTAGGCAAATTAGTGGGCTGAGAATAAGGACTAGATGACAGGAAATAGGAAATACTAGAGTGACAGTTGAATGATGAGCCAAGTTTCTAGAAGAGGGAAGCAAAAAGTTAAGAGCATACATAGAGCAGGAAGTGGTACATGAAGGCTTTTTAGCAGCAAAAATGGAAATTAAATCCATTTAATATCACCCTCTCAGAATATTATACAGTTTTAGGACACTAAGTGGTAATGCAAATACATAGTTGTTGACATGTAAAGCTATAGCCATAGAATATTGAATAAAAACCCTATTATAGGTTAGAGTTGCTATATTACACACTTACAGGGTTCCTTGAGTTAGTCTCCTTGGGACACCATTAGAATCCAGTATTCTGCATTCCAGTCACCCTAAGTATGGTGTAATATGCAGTTTGTCAGAAGTTATATTTGAGCACATATAAGGTTATTTGTGAAAATATCAAAAAAATTAACTGTAATTAACTCTATTAGGCAGAATATTGACTGATTTTAAGTTCATTTTGTTTGGTGTTCTTTTTTAAATGTTTGAATTTTTTTTTTTTTTTTTTTTGGTTTTTGGTTTTTGGTTTTTCTCCGGTACCAGGAACCGAACTCATGACCTTGCGCTTGCCAGGCAGGCGCTTTTGCCGCTGAGCTAAATCCCCAGCCCCTAAATGTTTGAATTTTAGAAAAATATTTTTACTTATCATGTGATTCACTTTGAAGAACTCGGTGAAAAAGAAATCCTGAAAAACAAGCATACAGTTGAATAATAAGAAAGCTTTCTTTAAAGAAGGTCCCACTATGTAGGCCAGGCTGGTCTTGAACATACTGTGTAGTCTCTAGGCTGGCCTCAAATTCAGTGGTCCTTCTGCCTCGGCCTCCGGAGTGCTGGGATTATAGGCATGGGCCACCATACCCGGCTAAAGAGTTGAATACTAAAACAAAAAAGAAAAAAACCCACCCAGTTTTAGATGTCCTAGAAATCATAAAGGGAAAAACCCCATAATATTTAATTACAGGGACAAAAAAGGTTTTCATAAAATCTCTTAGACATGAGAAATTGTGAAAACAGAAAACTGTTACATAGATTTTTTTTCCTGGATTGTCACTAGTTTGAAGCCATTTTTTTCTGGATAGTATATCTTCTCTTTGCTGGAATATCTTTAGTAACTTTCTAAAAAAAGGGCCAACTTTCTGAATCTGTTCTTCTTAAAAATGTCTGTATTGTACTTTCATATGAATTAAATTATGGCAACTAGATGATTAGGCAAAAAGAAGTCATCTTTGACCTTCATTTCATTCTCTACATCAAGTTAATTCATTAGTAAACCCTCCCAGATTTTCCGTTAAAGTATGTTAAAAAATCCAGTTACTTCTTAGTACCTCTCTGCTACCATCCTGGGCTGAATTATCACCTCTCACATTTCACTGTTGTGTTCCACCAGTCTCCTGCTTTCCTGTGGTTTGTTTTCCACAGTAGGGTGATTTATACTGTTGAAAAACTATCTCCTCCTTACCTCACTCAGAGTAAGAGGATGTTGCATAGGTTGGCTCTCTTCTACTACTTTATGTCTTTGCTTATTATTTTGTCTCTCTTTTCCGGCATCCTGGCCCCAATATATATTTGTTAAAATTGCATTTGTTTAGAATTTGAAGACATTGTACCCTTGCCTTTTAGTGTCCAGTGTTACTGATAAAAGATCTCTTTTAGATGACCTGTTTCTTTTCTCATGGGATGATTTTTACAATCTTCTTTTTGTCCTCCATGTTTGGTCATCTGAAAAGGTCTAATTGGGTCTCATTTTATTCTTTGTGTCTGGTATTTATTGTTGGCCCTGTTAGTGGGAACACTTACATCTCTTCAGCCCTGGGAAATTCTTTATTTTTCTTTGATAATTTCCCCCTTCTTCCCTTCCTCTCTCCCTCCCTCCTGTCTCCCTTTTCTTTTTGGAAGACTTGTACTTTACTTATAGGGTGGTGATTGAAAGGAACAGTGTGAGAGAGAGAGATCAGCTGAGACCACCAGGCTTGTGTGAAGGCAACATGGCGTGGAATTAATTGTGCATCGATAAGGGCAGACAGAGGATGAAAAGGCCATCTTAGGGAGTAAACAGAGGTGGGCTTTTTTAAAAATAGGGTTTGACAGAAGGCAAGGGACGTTAGGCAGGAAGATCTTAGTAAACATCAGTGGTCAAAGTTCTCTGGATGTCTCTTGCCTTAATGGGCAAAGTCTTTGAGGTGTCCAGTGTAAATGTTTGGATGTCTTCAGATGTCTAGGTGTTTGGAAGATTTTGTTCTCCGTCTTATCTCTTGTGTTTGTGGAGGGTACTTGTGTTGAGTTGAGAACAGTGCCTCTGCGGGCCGATAGGTTAGGTATTGGGAGAGTCATGTCCGAATTGAGGCTTACAATGATTATTCTGAGTTTTTGAAAGAATGTTAAAAAAATGTCTTTTTTGTTTGTATGTATGTAGTTCAAGTTGGCCTTGAGCTCACTTTGTAGCCCAGGCTGGTCTCGAACTTGCAACGATCCTCCTGCCTTAGCCTAAAAAATTTTTTTTTAATTTAAAAAATTTTTTTTACTTTAAAGAGAAAAAACCCACAAAATTTCAAAATAATAGGAGGATAACAATGATTAATACACTGTGTATTGTTATCTTTGCATTAATTACTTAGAGTATAAGATACCAGCATTTAATTGTCCATACAATAGTAACACATTATTCTGAGGTTTTTACTTGTAAGTCTTACATTTTTAAATTTGTTGACTTTATATTTATTTGGGTGGTCCTGGGGGTTGAATCCAGGCCTTGTGTATGTTAGACACAATCACTGAGCTCCATTCCCAGTCTTCAGATTTTTTTTTCTGAAAAATTATTGTTAGTTATGATAAAATATACATAATATACCACTTTAACCATTTGTAAGTGTGCCGTTCAGTAGTGTGAGGTACACTTACGTTATTTATTGTTCAGACGTCACTACCATCTGTGTCTAGAACTCTTTTATCTTACAAAACTGAAACCCTGTACCTATTAAACAGTAACTTCCCATTCTCCTCTCCCTGGCAACTATGATTATACTTTCTGTCTCCGAATTTACTCCAGATAACTCATGCAAGTAGAATCATACTGTTTGTCTTTAAAAAAAATTATTGTAAGAAATATATAACATGATAAAGAAATAAAAAAGAAGCCCATAACATGAAATTTAGCATCTTAATTGTTTTTAAGGGCACAGTTCAGTAGTTAGGTATATTCACATTATTGTGCAACAGACCTCCGGAAGGTTTTATCTTGTACATCTGAAATGCTGTATGTACTTATTAAATGGTACCACTCTCTCTTCCTTGGTAGGACCACCTGCTTTATGTTTCTGTGACACTGATTACTCTTACGCATTTCATGTAGTGAAATCATACAGTGTTTGTCTTTTTGTGATTGGTTTATTTCACTTAGTCAAATATCCTTATGATTACATATAGCATGTGTTTCTTTTAAAAGTTGAATATTTTAGTATATGTATATATCACTTTGTTTATCCATGTATCAGTTGATGGACTGAGTTGCTTTTCACTTTTTAACTATTATAAATAATGTTGCTGTGAATGTGGGTATACGCGTATGTCTTTGAGACCCTGCTTTCAGGTTTTTTGGGTATATACCTGGAAGTGAAATATTTGGATCATGTGGTAATTGTATTTTTAATTTTTTGAGAACCCACCGTATTCTTTTTCACAGAAGCTGCCACATTTTATATTTCCATCAATAGTGTACAAAAGGCAATTTCTCTACAGATTTCTCTTGTTTACACTTGTTCTTTCTCTTTTTCAATAGTAGCTATCTTAGTAAATGTGAGGTTATAAATTCTTACTCACAGTTGTATTTTAGCCAAACTAATGTCCTTACCCTCTGAGAGATGACTCAGGTTTGTAGTAATGAAAAACTGACTTAAATGTGTGGGAAGATTGAGAGGTGATGGGAAAATGGAAATAACTTGTTTGAATTTAAGAAATTAAATGAGAAATGACATGAGGATGACTTTTACATTTTGAATCTGACTATAGTTTAAGTGTATGGAAGTAAAGGGAAGGAGAGAAAGAAAAATTTATTAATCTTTTGAAGCTTTTTTTTTTTGTGGTGCTGGGGATTGAACCTAGGGCCTCAGCCATGCTAGACAGGCACTGTACAATTGAGCCAAACCCCCAGCCTCTGATCCTTTTTGAGTTTTTGATGATGGGAATATTTTGGAAGTAAACGGTTGGCTAGGCAGCTCTCAGTAGGTGAGAAAACAGTTCTGGAACTTTTTTTTGAGAGGTAGTAGGGTATAAGACATTTGAAACATTTATTTTCCTTAGAAAAAATAATCTTATAAACTTTTCCTTCTCAATGTTTTACAGCTCTTGCAAGCTTAGGATATGAAAAGAGCTGTGTGTTGTTCAATTGTGCAGCCTTAGCTAGCCAGATTGCAGCAGAACAGAACCTGGATAATGATGAAGGATTGAAAATCGCTGCTAAACATTACCAGGTATGCAGAAAAATAGTTCCTACATAATGATCAACTATAAGTTGGATTAAATTGAAAATAATTTATGTTTAGGTTTGTAGATGATGCTTCTTTATACAACAGATGTTATGAAAAATCAGTCATTTTTTTAAATGAATTTATTCTTAGTGTTAAAACTTTTAACAATAAATAGATTAACTACTTTTAGACCAAGTCTGTTTTTCTTCCTTGTTGTATTCTAGCACCTAGCACAGTGCCTGGCACAGAATAAGAGGCTCAATGAATATTGATTGAATAAATATATGAGACATAATTGTATACATTTATGGTGAGTCCCTTTTAAATAAATGACCTAGGGGCTGGGGATTTAGCTTAGCGGCACAGCGCCTGCCTGGCAAGCGTAAGGTCATGAGTTTGATTCCCGGTACCAGAAAACACCCCCCCCCAAAAAAAATGACCAAATTTGAAGCATCTATGCATTATTTTGTATGTTGCATAGAGTAAGACCCAGAAATTTCACTGGTATCACAAAAATTAAGAACTTTGGCAAGAAAATAAGTTTAATTCTGAAAGTTATGGAGAGGTCATATTTAAATTTGGTCAGACATATAAAGTTCCTAAGATAGCTAGCATTCTGTTTTAGGCACCAATCATTCAGTCATATGAGTTGTTATTTTGCGGCATTTATCATTTAACCAGTTTTTATTTGTTTCAATTATATTAATAGTTTTTATATTATTTTACAGTTTACAAAGTTATTTCATGTCTGTTATTTGACTCATTACGTGATGCATGTCATGTAAAGTGTCATTCTCATTTTACAGATGAGGAGACTAAGGTCAGAAAGGGGTTTCATTTGCGTTTCAGGTGTTCTTACTCCAAATTTCACAGAATTCCAGATGTTTTTTCCTTTGTGTCCTTGTGGAATTTACTTGTCTCAAAAGTGCTCTGAGTCTGATTTTTGTCATTGTTTAAGTGCGGGGGAGAGAAGAGGAATGCTAGTTTAGCAAAGTGAAAGGAAATACAATTTAACAACATACACCAAAGTTATGACTTGCTGTACAGTTTGGATGGGGTTAAATGACAAGTATAACACACATACCACTTGTTTTTGGGCCATAAACGGCAAATATTTTAAAATACGAAAATGTGATACACTTTTATTTGGCTTTCTGTTAACTGTAACACATTGGCATGAGAGATCTTGGAAGTCATTTCGAATTATTAGGGAAATACTCTATTTGTCAGTCTTCACAGCAGACCACATCATATGAGAGAAAGAAGAGTAGTGGTATTAGGCTTTGCTCCTTACCAATGGGCAAGTTCTTCAATACCTCTTGACCTCTGGTTCCTTCTCTGTGTATGAGACTCAACCCCTCCCCGTTCTGGTCTGTAATTCTGCTAGTCATGAACCGAGGGCAGCTGAACCATCCTTGCAGATAATTTTGTAGGATTTTATAAATGCATCAAGTGTGATATTCATTTTAGTACGGTTAACTTTGAATTAGCTCTGTGTAAACTGCATATCTTCCTTTTAATTCCAGGACTTTCTTCCTCTTTCACAGTGTTAAGTTTTTTCACAGAAATAAAGCTATTTTAGTATTATTAACAAAATATCAGTGGGATGAAAAATTTAATGGGGAACATTTCACTGGGGCATTTGAACAACCAAACAAAAATGATGAGCAATGAATAGTAATATTCTTCTTCATTGGGACTAAGGTATATCTTTACCATACCATGCTTATTTGAGAGATGAATTTGTTTAGGACCAAAGTAAGAGCAGTTAAGCACTAAAAAAAAAAATTCATTAATGTATTTCATTTCCTGTATTCTTAGATAAAATTTGAAGAAGTATGTGTAAAAATAAATTTTTTGCCATTAATTTACTTTGTTTTTCCTTGTAATTTACCTTTTTTTTTCTCTTGTGGTACTAGTGATTGAACCAAGAGCCTTTGTACTGGGTTACACCTTCAACCCCTTTTTTAATGTTTTGTTTTGAGACAGGTTCTAGGTAAGTCACCCAGGCTAGTCTCTAATTTGTGATTCTCTTGCTTCAACTCCCAGAGTGCTGAGATTACAGGCATGTGCCACCATGCCCAGTTTCCTGTAATTTATTTTTAATCTTTGCTAAACCTCTTGCTATTGTATAGAGGGTAGCCCAGGCTGGTCTTGAACTCTTGGCCATCCTCCTGCCTCAGCATCCTTCTACAGAGTTTTTGAAAGATAAGCTTATTCTAACCTGTTGGAAATGTATCAACTATTGTAACCATCCTACTAACGTGTTTCATTGTTTATTTTTTTCTCTTTAAAATTAAAAAAAAGATAAGCTTACTGTTCGTAGGTCAGATTTTTTAGATTGGTTTTATATCATATGAAATTTAAATATAATAGATGCTCACAGAATTAGCATTTGGAATGATTTTTGTGTGTTATAATAGAAAATAAAGTCTTGCTGAGCTCTTACAGATTTAAAAAATTTTCCTTCCTCCCCTTTTTAGTTTGCTAGTGGTGCCTTTTTACATATTAAGGAGACGGTTTTATCTGCCTTAAATCGAGAGCCTACTGTGGACATATCTCCAGATACTGTTGGGACCCTCAGTCTTATCATGCTGGCACAGGCCCAAGAAGTATTTTTTTTAAAAGCTACAAGAGGTAACTCCAGTTTTTTTTGTGTTAAAAGAAGTAATAAGCTTTTAAACCAAGAAGGTGATTAGAATACAGTATGTTCTATGTGGCCCTTCCTTTTTGAACATGATACAGACATTATTAAAAAGTTTTAGCTTTTGTTTTTTTAAACTTGTACAGCAAGCAGTGTTTGAGGGCTAATGAAATGAATAGTTAGCTATTGTTTTTAAACACTGGATTGTGAAATAGTATTTATTTATTTATTTATTTATTTATTTATAGTTTTTTGAGACAGGGTCTTCTTGTGTAGCCCAGGCTGGCCTTGAACTCATTGTGCAGCCCAGGCTGGCCTCGAACTCATAGCAATCCTCCTAAGGCTCCTGCCTCAGCCTCCTGAGTTCTGGGATTAGAAGTGTGACCCATAACACCTAACTGAAACAGTATTTATATGTTTGTAATATTGTAAAACATTCATTTAGCAAGTATTTATTTTGTGCTTACTGTATTGCAGGCATTGTTGAAATCTTTAGATGAAGAATTAATAGACAAGCAAGACTTCTATTTCTAGGAAGCTAACATTTTGGTATAGGGGAGATGATAATCAAAAAATTAATGGCAAGATTATTTCTGAGTGACAGTGGTGCAGTGAGGAAAATTTGAATGGATTATGTGATAGTGATTGGTTGTCTGGTTGTCATGTAGAGATTTAGGGGGAGTTATGTTAATTTTACATTCATTAATCAAGACAGGTTTCTTAAATGACAGAAAGGAGCCCTCTAGGCAGAGTCCTTGGTGAATGGGGTAATGAGAACAATTCTCCAAGGCATGTGAATTAGTATGAGAGAATGGAATGTAGGCTGAATGTTCACTCATGCAGAGAAATTAAAAATAAGAGCACAATCATGTAGAAAAGGTATAAAGTAGAATAATTTTTATCTTTTAAAATAAAAATGTATATTGGGATAGAATTCATATACACCAGAATTCACCCTTTCAAAGTTTATACTTCAGTATTTTCTAGTATAGTCAAGAATTTTTCAATCATTAGAACCACCTAATTTTAGAATATTATCACCCCAAAAAGTAACTGAACATACATTAATAATTATTTCTTACCTCTTTTTCCCCCAGTGGTCAGCAAAAATCTATTTTCTCTCTCTTTGGATTTGTCTATGGAATAAAGTTTTATGCAGAAGACTTAATTTCATTAACAAGGATTTTTATGGACAAATTATATACTTTTGATTGTAGTGTCTGTATTTACAGTCATATATCAGTTTGTCTTATTTGTTTTAATTATAATGGTCAATTTAATACTTTATTCCAGATAAAATGAAAGATGCCATCATAGCTAAATTGGCTAATCAGGCTGCAGATTACTTTGGTGATGCTTTCAAACAGTGTCAGTACAAAGACACTCTCCCCAAGGTCAGTTATTGTTTAATAAACATGTAGTTGTTTTTATTTTGCATGTTGAAATATTGTGTACAAGAAGCAAGTTGAAAACTGCATCTTAAGGATATTTGAAGTTTTATAGAAACATTTGAAGAATATATTGGTAGAAATAGTTTTTGAATTTAATATGCATGAACAATTCTCTTATATTTAGGGGATGCCTTTGCCTTTACTTTTTACTAAACTTGTTCTTCCAAGCTAAAACTCTTTCTGGAAAACTTTTATCTGTTTTCAGTAATTTAATCAAATCATTGTGTCATTCTGAATTGTTGTTGATTTGGTACAAGCATGAGAACTGGAGCATGTTGATTATTCATATTTTTAATTACTGTCCTGTTTTCTTAAAGATGAGTCTTAAAGCGCAAAAACAGACATAAAGAAAAAAGGAAAAGAAAACTTAAGTTCATCTGATACTTTGATTAGAATTAAGTTTTGCCAACAGATAGAAAATTGGGATGCTAAAGGCCAGCTAAGGAAAAGCAACCATCTTAAACCACATATCACAGGAAGTGTCATGTTTAAATGTAAACTTCTCTCAAGTGGCATTTAAAAAGACTGGTTAGAGATGATCATTTGTAAATGACAGAACAGATGACTCACAAGTTACACTGGAATGGTTAAAAAAGAATAACAATGAGTGAAATACATGTTTCAGGGGCCAGGGATATAGCTCAGTGGCACAGTGCCTGCCTGGCAAGCACAAGGTTCTGAGTTTGATTCCTGGTACCAAAAACAAAACAAAACAAAACAACACATGTTTCAATAACTGTTTTTCAGAAATGTTCAAGGAATTAGTTTCATTTGTATGGTAGCAGATGATATTTGTTACATGACTTTTTTATAGAAAAACTTACGAATTTATAAATAATCTAGAAATATTTGTAAATTATGAAATTGCAGGGAGCTTTAGGGGTAAAGATGCACATAAATACATCAAAACTACATTTTAGTAGGAAAATGAACAATAAGGAATTATGTTAAGATTCCTGGGAATTTAAAGTACACCAAAGACCTAGTAGAAATTTGCTCAGGACTCTTAGGTCTTAGTTGCATTATTCTTAAAAAGAGAGTTGGGATCTCTTCTCACCTTTTTCTCGTCTGAAAGACCTCATGTTCAGCTGCACAGTGTACTGTTACATCCTGTTGGGCCATTAGTTCAGTCCTGTTACGGAAAGAAGAATGTCTCCTACAAAGACTTGGAAGCTACCTCTGCAGCACTCTGGTATTCCTTGAAAATCTCCTGTTTAAGTACCAAGTTACTCCAGTTATACCTTGAGTACTGGCATGAATGCAGTTTGAGATTTAGATATCGTTTATTACTTCCTTTTTACTAATAAAGCTCATAAGGTATTTTCATATTCTAGTTATAAAACTGGAATATCTGCAAGTAGTGATCCAGGAAGCTAGGAAATTATTCACTGGGAGACAGGAAAACACTCAAGGTAGTAATTCAGTTTTTGATTCTCATATATTTTTGTCTAGACAGTGATTGTCTAGTATATTTCTTGGATTTTTTTTAATAATATACTTCCTACAAACAATGAGGTTATAGGCTAGGATTTGACATTTTGGAAGAAAGCTCTGTCAATATAATGGCTGTTCTGGTTCATGTGTTTGGATTTAAAAATTTTGACTGGAATTGTTTTGAAAACAAATTAGGGCTAAATAATATTTTGTATTGTTAGCTGCTAATGTAGTGCATTTATATCTCTGTGATGTCTTTTTTTTTTTTTTTTCTGTGATGTCTTTGAGTATATGTAACTAAAATGGTAGTGTTTATATGATACTGAGTCATTTTTATATGGCTAAAAATCTTTAGTAAGAAATTTCTTAGGACATGAATTTAAGTGAGAACTTACTTTGCTGTTTTTTGTCTTTTAAACATGATGAAACAGTCAGCTATAGAGCAGTTTCATTAGTATATGTGAGTAATATGGTGTAGTTAACTCTGAGGGCTGGGTAAGGACTCATAAGGAAGCTTCTAAAGCCCTGTGCTTGATATTCCTCTGAATGTCCATTCCACTTCTCTTTCTAATGCATGCTTTCCTTTTTTCCTTGTAAACAAATTGCTGACTTCATGGCTTAATTGAAGTGAATTTGAAAAACCTAAATTGGCTTCAGTTAACAGTTAAAAAAAAAACCCTTAATTTTAATTGAAAGAAAAAAATTGAATTCATAGAATTCAATTCTTGCAAAATCATGTGGTTTTCTCTGTTTACACCTAATGACTAACCTATCTCTAAACCATTAATGGGGTGATTCTAATTTCTGTCTCCTTTTCCTTTTTCTTCCTGCGTCCCATGTTGTCTGTGATGGTTTGTTTGGTTGGACTCTCCCCTGGTTAGTATTTTTATTTCCAGGAGGTGTTCCCCGTCTTGGCTGCAAAGCACTGTATCATGCAGGCCAACGCCGAGTACCACCAGTCTATCCTGGCAAAGCAGCAGAAGAAATTTGGGGAAGAGATTGCAAGGTTACAGGTGAGTTTCTTGGTTTGCTACTTTTTTTCCTAGTTGAATTCCTAGATTTACTCTGAAAAGCTTTCCCATTTAATGCTCCTGTCAACAGAGACGAACGATTATTTTCATCCTTAAGCTTTCCTTATGCTTTTTTTTGAAGTCTTTTATTTTATCTAAAAATTGAAGCAAAATTTTGTCTTCCATTCTCATGTCTGTGTTTACTTTAATGTAAAAGTATTGTTAATTACTATGCTCCATGAAGCTGTGTAGTGCTTAACTTTAGCCTGTCCTTTATTGAGCATATAACTGCAGCTTGAGAAGGACAGTGATTTATACCCCTACCCCTTAGCAGAGTACCTTCTATGTAGTTATATCCATAGTGTTGGCATTGAGGTTGTCAGAAACTTACTGTGATACCTGGATCAACTTTGCAACAGGGACAAGAGTGTTTATATAATTATGCTTTGAGTATTTGTTAAGTAAAGAATAGGAAGAGGACTGTTAGGGAAATTCAAATATGGATTGGTGGGGCTAGGGATTTAGCTCAGCGGCACAGTGCTTGCCTGGCAAGTGCAAGGTCGTGAGTTCGATTCCCGGTACCAGAAAAACCAAAAAAAAAAAAAAAAAAGGAAGATATTATAGAACTGTTGTTCAGATTTTAGTTTTTTAAGAAAACAAACACATATTGACAAAGCTAGAGGAAGATCTTTTTATAAAACTTGTTTTCAGATGTGTCTGATTTTGTTAGGAATTCAGTGTCATTATTGTAAGTTACAGTTGTATATAAAAATGCTTCTGAGTCAGGAATTTCTGTGAGAGAATTTTTTTTTAAGACCAGCATATTCAAATTGTTAGAAATTTACTTTTTTTATTTTCTGGGAATTTTGGGAAAGTTAGATTTAAGGGACTTATTCAATATCTATAAAGCACTCAGAAAATAATTCCTTTAATGTTAATCAAAATTTGAATACTCTATAGAAAAAGAAAACTTCCAGATTCACACAAGAGAGATATGTTCTCAGTTATAGACACATAGAATTTATAGCTTTAGTTTTATAGCTTTAGTCATAGGTCAAAAATTAACATAGAACATACTCACTGATCCATATCTCAAAGGGCAATTCCTCTTTCCAGTAGGCGTGAAATATTTCTAAATATTGATTGGAGGTTACAGATACACAGACCAAAAAAAAAAAAAAAATTACCAACACACCTTATTCTCTGTAGCTTTTAATATAGCATCCCATGGTTCTGACCGAGATCATTAGGTAGTCACACCATCAAGCCAAGTTTCTAGTCTTTGCTATGAGGAAAGCAGACTAACTTGGTTGCATACAGACCAGAAACAAAAAGAAAATCATACTCAGGGGAATGAAAACAATAGGTAAAATGGCAGCAAAGGAAAAATTGCTGCCTACGTCACTTCTGGTGCCAAGAACAATTGTATGTGTGCTTGATACAGTTTATGAGTTGTACTTCTTACATAATGGAGTTTATTTGGCTAAGAAGATAGATCTTCTTGCCCATCTTGGTGGAATTTCTAAAGCTGCCAAAGTAGTTTTCAAAAAGTTATAAAAACATACAAACATATAGATAAAATATGGCTGGGCAGGGTGTCACACCCCTGTAATCCCAGCACGCAGAGGGGCTGAAGTGGGAGGGATGCTGTGAGTTTGAGCATAGCTGGGCTTTATAGTGAGTTTAAAGCCAGCCTGAACAACACAGTGAGCCTCTGTGTCAAAAAACCAAACCAAAACAAACAAAAAAACAAACAAAATCATAAAAAACCAAAACATAGATAAGATACAAAAACAAGATACGAATAATATGTCAGATTTATTTAACTCATTATTGAGGGACCTTGCAAGGTGTTAAATTTGATTTCATGAATTATTGTTTTATTAAGATAGTACATTGATAAGTATTAAGGAAATTTACTTTATTAAACAATATATGCTGAGGTATTTAGGGATGTTGAGTCATAACACCTGAACTTTAGTCTTTAAATGGTTCTGCATAAAAAAGGGCACATGTACGTGTGTGTATGTGTGGGAAAGTGAGAGATAAAGCAAATATAGCAAAATGAAAACAATTGTTGAACCTAAGTAGAGGGCATATTGTTACTCATTGTTCTGGTCTTTCAATTTTTTTATGGGGTTGACATTTTTCTAAATAGAAATTGTGAAAAATATATGGGTATATATTTTAACCCTGTCTCTTGATCTGTTCTGTCTTGTTCCTTCCATCTTTCCCCCCATTGTCCCACGGGTAGTTTCCTTTAGTTTCTGTTTAATCTTTTCAGCATTTTTTTCCCTTGAAAATAGAAGCAAGTGCATGTCTATGCACAAACATAAGGTACATTCTTAGCTTTCCTCATTATTCTAGAAATATCTTGGTTTTCTCCTGTAACAATCAATGTATCTTGAAGATTTATTTTACTGTAGCAGTAGAAAGATGTCATTTTTCTTTGGAACGGGGTTGAACTTCATTGTATAACCTAAAGTTTATTGCTGTCTTCTGCTTTGGATAGTTGTATGATATTTTAGTTTTGGCTTCCATAATAACATACCATGCACAGAGTAATCTAAACAATGGAAGCTTATTTCCTTAGTTCTGGAGACTGAAAGTCTGAGGTCAAAGTGCCAACATGGTCTAGTTCTGGAAAGGTTTAAAGATGGCTTTTTTTTTTCTCCACATGATAAAGAGAGCAAGAGTTTTAATGTCTCTCTCTGTACGGGCATTTGTCCCACGCAAGTGCCCCATCCTGGTGACCTCATTTAATTATGTCCCAAAGGCCCCATCTCCAAATACTATCACATTTGTGATTGAGACGTCAGTGTATGGATTTTGCGGAAAACAGTTAAGAATACAACAGGTATATCTTAAAATAGGTCTCTAGAAATGGGATTGCTGATAGGAAAATATAAATACGTCTATAATTTGTTTTACATTGTATTTAGATTGTTGATCCATTTGGGCTTTATTCTGATGGATGATATGAGGTATGGATTCAATTTTTATCTTTTTGCAAATGGCTACTCATTTTCCCCTAAGCCATTTACTAGGACTTGCTGTTGTTCACAGATGTGAGATTCTTCTTTTAAATTTATTTATTTTAGTTTTTTGTCTTTTGGAAACAAGTTTCATTATGCAGTTCAGGCTGGCCTTGAACTTGCAGTGATCCTCCTGCCTCAGCCTCCCAAGTCCTGGGATTACAGGCGTGTGCCACCACGCCCCATTGATGTGGGATTTTATCATATATTAGAATTAAAAGTTGTTTATGCTTTAGAATGTTTTAATGCTTGATATGTATTCTCATTTCTCATTTTCTTAATTCTCTTAACTGTTCATGCTTATTTTTTGCATTTTCTCATTTTTAGAATTTTCCTGTTCTTCCTGGTTTATATTTCTTTATAAGAATTTTATTGTATTTAACTATTTTGGGAAATTTCAGACATATTAAATATGAATCATAACTGCCTGTTACCTATCTTCACTGACTTATCAGTGTTTGCTGTTTTGTTTCCTTGACTTCCTCTTCTCATTTTGAGGTATATTCTAGTTTATCTTACTTGATTTAATCTTTAAGTAGTTTAGTATATATCTTTGGTAGATAAATATTTAAAAAATTAAATCCACATTATCGTGCCTTTACCCTATCTAGCTAATTTATTCTCTGTTTTTTTTTTTTGGTACCAGGAATCGAACTCACGACCTCATGTTTGCTTGGCAGGCGCTGTGCCACTGAGCTATATCCCTGGCCCTAGCTAACTTAATATTATTGTCATTTACATCTAAACTGTCTCCCCAAAGTCTCATATATTGGGCTGCTCTACTCATCAGTAGATTCATCCATTGAGGAGTTTAGTAGCTAAATGTGCTCTTACGAGATGGGGCCTGGTTAGAGATAGGTCCCTGGGAAGTTGTATTCCTGTCCCAGCACCTCTCTTTGATGTTTGCTCTTTGGCTGCCACAGGGTGAACAGTGTTTCTCAGCCTGTCCCTTCCACTTTGCTGTTCTGCCTTGGACCCAGCCAACTGTGGGTTAAATCCTCTAAAAATTGTGAGCCATAATAAATGCCTATAAATTATGGGTGTTGGGTATTGTCCTAGCGTTGGGAAAGTAACTAATACAAATATGATTAATAATAATCGTAAGTCAGTATTGTCTAAATCTAGCTTAGTTTTTCCTCATTGTTTTTCTCAGGTGTCTTAGTTTGTTCAAATTGGGATAATACAGAGTCCTCACATTGCACTTGGTTAATATGTCTTTGAAATCTTTAATTTTTAGCAGCCTCTTCTCAACTGCTATGTTGACATTTCTTATTCTTCATGTTTCTAATGTGATTTCTGTGATGTCTTTTTGTTTCTTTAAAAAGTGTTTCGGTCTTTCTTAAATGAATTTGTATTTTCCTTCACTTTCTTTGCTGAATTGTCATTTCGTACTTCCCATTCTCTTGCTATCTAGCTATCACCCACTGATGTCTGGGCCATGTAGTTCTCAGTTCATACTTTGTGTTTTTGGCACTGTGCATTCTTAAATTTTTAATTTTTTGTTTTCTAGCATGTTTTAATCTACTTTGTTGCAATATTTTGTGAATTTTCATTATTTGCTAATAAGTTACACAGTACCACTCATTTGCATCATTTTCCTTTTGCTTTTTGTTGAGGCCAGTGAAATACCTTTTTGGTTGTGTTTGAATGAGATTGATTTTCCTGGAGGCTCTTGGGTTGTGAAGTGAGCTTTCCAGGCATCATTGTATAAGGCCTTCCTCTTGTCCTCAAAAACTTGGTCGGTTTAGGAACAATTTCTCCTCTGTATCGTTATCTGTGCTTCCCAGTGCTTTTCAAGTTGATGCATCAAGTTTTATTCTGCTTATTATTATTTTTTAAAATTTAATTTTATTTTTTTTTTTATCTTTTTGAGACAGGGTCTTGCTATGCAGTTCAGGCTGGCCTTGAGCTCATTTTGTAGCCCAGGCTGGTCTCGAACTTGCAACAATCCTCCTGCCTCAACCTCCCGAGTGCTGGGATTACAGGCGTGTGCCACCATACCTGGCTTGCATCTAGTTTTAGAGTTTGTCTTTTGCTGGCATTTTCTAAGTGCTCACCTCTCTTTCTTCTTCAACCCCATTTTTTCAGTTCGTATGTTTCCCCTAGAAACCCTCCTCTTTTATTTAATATCGCTCCTGATCTTAACAGCTCATTTTTGGGATGAGGCCACTTAATATCCAATATTTCCTGTGCCCTCCTAGTGGCTTTACCAGTTGGCTTTGCCTTTGTCATTGGATGGCAGGTGTTTTATTTCTTTTTCATGGTTTTCCAATTTGATTCCAGTGTTTCCCAGTCACGGTGGCACCCTCAGCACTTCCCTTTAAACTCCTGTGTATTCAGCATAGGTTGTTGTTCAGGGAAGTGACAAATTTACAAATCAAATTTGATTTAGAGGTTTAACAAGTTACATTTTTCCATTTCCTGGTTTACACTGAAGATGTAGCTTTTATTTTGGTTATCCTTGTTTCTTTATTGCTATCTGTTGATCTGGCCTGTCTTTCTAAATTTATTGGGTATTTTGTCTTTGTGTTGCTACTAACAGTGGATTTATTTCCTCTGTTAACTCTTCAAATTGATGTTTATATGTATTTAGTAGTTGGATTTTATATCTTATGTGCTTGTCTCATTATTTAGAATAGTTCAGCAACTCTTAGCTTTTCCTGACATACAAGTGTATTACTTGCAATTATTTTTTTCTTTTGTCTTATTTTACGTGTGTATGGTAATAGTGGTGCTGGTGATCTTCAATTTCTACCTGAGGGATGTTGTATTTATTTTTTATTAAGTATATCTTTGAGGTTAAGATTTTTTTGGTGAGATTAAGATTTTTTATGGTGTTAAGAAATTCATTTCTATTTTACTAAGACTTTAAAAACAAGATGCTGTATTAGTATTCCATTACTGTAACAAATACCTGAGATAATCAGCTTATAAGGAGAAGAGGTTTATTTTGTTTCACAGTTCTGGAGGTATCAGTCCGTGATTGGTTGGGCCCATTGCCTTTGGGCCTTGTGGCAAGACTGCACATCACAGCAGCATTGTGTAGCAGAAGCTTTCGTTTCATGGCTGGGATATGAGCGAGATAGGGGTTCCAATATTCTTTTCAAATATAGGTCCCCAGTAACCAGAAGACCTCACGTTAAGATAGACTTTTTAATGATTCCACCAACTTCCCATGCACCCTAGCTGGGGACTAAGCCTTTAACATATAGGCCCTTGGGAGACACTTACCCAAACCATAGATAATAATGGAATTTTATTAAATGCCTTTTCAACGTGCTATGGAGATACTTGATTTTTTTTTTTTTTTTTTTGGTACTGGAAATTGAATTCAGGACCTTGTGCTTGCCAGGCAGGTGCTTGTGCCGCTGAGGTATATCTCCGGCCCTGAGATACTTGATTTTAACAAACTTTTTTTTTTAGAGAAATGTGTAAGTAGACATTCTAATATTAAGCCATTTTTGTTTTCTTGTGAGTGGTATTTAGGCTTGCTTTCTAGCTTAATCTGGTGATTTCATATAGCTGTTCCCTCTATGCATTTGGATATTGTATATTCTATAATTGTGGATCCCAGAGTTCTTTATGTCTGCAAAATCAAACTCAGTAATTGTGCAGTTAAAAATCTTCTGTAGTCTCCTTTTTTTTTTTTTTGAGTTGAGGATTAAACATGGGGCCTCATGGGTGGTAGACAAGTGCTTTACTAAGCTATATCTCCATTTCCCAAATATATAATCTTAAGAGTCTTTTTGCTTCCTTTATCAAGCTATTGCTGAGACGAGAGTGTTAAAAGATTTTTCATTCTGATATGGGTAGATTTATCAACTTATTATAATTATTTATATAGTTAGGGACTGTTAAATGTGAAATTTAAGAATTTTTTTATATTTCTGGTAAGTTGGCAAATGTTAAAACATTATGCACTGAATTTATGCCTAATAATGCTTTTGGCTTATCTGTTTTATCTGATGCTTCTACTGTCACCTAAATAGTATAATTTTAGTGTTAAATTTGTGTGTGTGTGTATATGTATATATACTGGCAAACTTAAAAAAATTTTTTTTTTGATACTGGTAATCGAACTCAGGATCTTGCCTTTGCCAGGCAGCCACTGAAAAATTTCTTATTGATGCTGAAATAACATACTACTTTGTTGACCTCTTGTGTTGCTGAATAGTATTTTTTCTGGTCTATCTTTTCACTGAGTATAGCCCTTTGAGGTTGCTGTCTTCATGTGAAGGGATGAAAAAGGTGCATTTCAGTTCTGTGGTTTCCAGTCCCCTGTCTTAGGCTTCTGTGGAGACTTATAATGCACTTTAATTACTAATTGTTTGGTTTCAAGAAATAATTTAACAGCCAGTCTTCCTCAGTGTCAGTTTATACTGATTGGTCCATGAATTTTTTTTTTTTTGCTATGCTCTCAGTTCACCCATGTGTTGAAATGAATGTCTACTATGTATAGTCCTTTACTTTGGGAATATTTTGTGATGCAGGAATTTCCAGGTAACTTTGTCAGACACAGTGCTGGAAATGTAAATCCCAAATTAAGTTTTTAAACAAATTTAAAAAATTTTAACCAATGCTTGGTGGAGAAAAAGAAAGTTTTCCTTTTAAAAATTGTAACATTTTTCTTCTTAGCATGCAGCAGAATTGATTAAGACAGTGGCATCTCGCTATGATGAATATGTCAATGTGAAGGATTTTTCTGACAAAATCAGCCGTGCCCTTACTGCAGCAAAAAAGGATAATGATTTCATTTATCATGATAGAGTTCCAGACCTTAAAGATCTAGATCCTATTGGCAAAGCCACACTTGTGAAGTCTACCCCAGTAAATGTACCTATCAGCCAGAAGTTCACTGGTATGTCTGTTTTTCAGATGCACTTTATGGACTATTCTTTCTCATTTTTGTCCAGTTTAATCTGTATTTTTTTGCTAAAATCATATAGTTCTTATATACTTTAGATGCTCTGCATTCATGTTGTTTAAAATGAATGTGACAATAAAAATTATCCAGTGAAATTTTAAAATGGAAAGTAAATGATATATAAACATTCAGAAAACTTGAAATTGTATTGAATGAAACTTTAGACAAGCAGTTATTATTTTGTTAACATTTAAGGTGTCATTAAAATAAACATAAGTGTATTTGTAAACAAGTAGCCTTCTGGAGTCATTTGTATTAGATAAATAAATTTTAGTATACCTTTGGATATTATAGATATATGTTATATATTATATATATCTATATTATATATATATATATTTGCAATATTTGGTAGCTTCTGTGATCCTAAGGATAGTATTCTTAGTTCAAGGAAAGAATGATTATTTTACTTAGGTTTATGTGGCAAACACAGAGGAGTAGTAAAGACTCTTAAGCACTTTGCAAATAATTAGTTTCTTAAAGTGCTCACAACTGCCCCATAACAAGGGTACTGTTTATTAATATCCCTACTTTACTGATAAGGATACTATGTATAGAGTGGTTATTTGACCAAGGTCACGTAACTAGCAAATTGGAAATAGAATTCTGGCAATGTGGCACATTCAGTCAGTTTAATCAACAAAGGAGCAGTGTTACCAAAGATCACTCACACTCAATAATAAACACATCTTAAAAGTCACAGAAAATAAAATTCAAAAAGGAAAGCTTTGTGTTATTATCAGTGTGCATGAATGTAGTGATCTGAAAATGTTCATCAAGCTTGTACTTTGAGTATTGGTTTGGTTTTGATCTTTATTTATAGACTATATGACAGTTAGAAAGAAAACAAAGTCATTTCTGCAGTCTCATTTTTTGTTGTTCTGGTTTTTGTCTGGAAATTTTGTTTAAATTTCCCTTCCTAAATTTAGATCTGTTTGAGAAGATGGTTCCTGTGTCAGTGCAACAGTCTTTGGCTGCATTTAACCAGAGAAAAGCTGATTTGGTTAACAGATCAATTGCTCAAATGAGAGAAGCTACCACTTTGGCAAATGGGTAGGTGAAGCTTAACTTTCATAAATTTGTTTCTAAAGTTCTAAAGTTTTCTGTTTGGTTATTCTTTAACTAAATAGTTTATGAACATTATAGTTTCCTGAGCTCAAAGTTAAATGTCAAGGAAATACATAATATAACAGAAATAGATACACATACTCTTGTATTTCTAGGGACCCTGTAGTAAGCCATAGCAAATAAATTATAGTTGGAAGAAATTTACTAGGCGAAATGAGATGAGAATATTTGATTACTAGTTTGTATGGTGAGAGCTTTATTTGAGTGAAATGAGAAGTAGAAATGAACATTTTAAGGTAAGGTACAATATGTGATATATTAAATCTTCTGAGCCAGATTTTGGTTTTGGTGGTTTGAAGACTAATAATATAATTCACTGGCCTTAAAAAATTCAGGCATAATTTGTACACCATAAATACAACCATTTTAAATATACAGTTCAGTTAGCTTTGATAACTATAAGTACTTAAATAACTACCACCAGCACCAAGATAAGATTGAGAATATTTCTGTTACCCTAATCATACCTTTCTCCCTTCAATTCCTTTTTCTCTGGTCCCTGGCCATTATTTACCCACTCCCTATCATTATAGGTTAGTTTTGCTCTTTTTATAGTTTAATACAAACATAGTCATTATAGCATGTGCAGTGTGTACATTACAGTATTGCTACAGTATATAGAGGATGCATAGAATATGTGTAATATATACTCAGAGTGTCTACTTTCACTTTCACTAGCATAGTATTTTTGAGTTTCATTTCCCCTCTTGTATATTAGTTTAACCTGTTTTATGATGATTGGTATTCTATTTTAGGGTCATACAGCAGTCTGTTAATTCTTTTCTGTGTTGCTACATTTTAGTTACTATGAACATTCATGCACAAATTTTTGTGCGGATGTGTTTTAGTTTTCTTATCTAAAGACCTAGTAGTGGAAATTTTGAGTTGTATATATTTAACTTTATGCAAGACTGGCAGATTATTTCCCAAAATGGGCATTCTGTTTTGTATCCTGAGGTGTGCTGTTTGAGAAATACAGTTGCTGTGCATCCTCACTAGCACTGTTGTTACGGCAAAAATTTGGGCTGTATTTCACAAGAGACCAAAGAGAACAGACAAAGTTTTTAATTTACACCGGTCATCTCTCATCCCGACTTGCAAGTCCGGGAAGTGGCCGTGGACCTGTCTTTGTTCCCAGGTTATATACAGTTTTGGTTTCCATGGTAACAGAAAGGAATGTTATAGCCCTGGCCACATGTTGTTTTCCTTGTGCCATGTAACCGGGTCAGGCTCTGGTCATGAGCCCAACCACAATGATATATACTTTTCGTACTCTGTTTCATATGTCCCCCTTTAGATAACCATATATTTACTTTATGGTTACAATGTTTACCTAGGGCCAGGAGATGGAACTGCCCAGGCAGGGTCATGGAGGGTTAACTAGGCCTAGGCGCCCCCTTATCTTTGGGAGACATTCCTGGGCAGTGTTGATCTGGGAAATTAGCTCTTACACTGTCCCGGGAGGCTTCCCAAGGCACCATGTAGGCTTTTACCAAAACTGTTTTATCCAGAATAATATGCTAAGATTCATTGCCCCCTACACTGTCTCTAATTTTAGCCATTCTAGTGTGTGGAGCAGTATTTACTTTGAATTTGCATAATTGCCAATGATGTCACCCAACTTTTCATGTATTTATTAGCCATTTATGTATCTTTTGTGTCAGTTGAAATCTTGGTGTGTGTGTGTATCAAACCCAGGACCACTTCACATATGCTAGGTAAAGGCTCTTCCCTTTCCTCTTCCCTTTCCCCTTCCCTTTCCTCTTCCCTTTCCCCTTCCCTTTTCCCTTCCCCTTCCCCTTCCTCTTCTTTTCTAACAGGATTTCACTATGCAGTTCAGGCTGGACTTGAACTCACTTTGTAACCCAGCATGCCTTGAATTCACAGCAGTCCTCCTGAGTGCTGGGAATACAGGTGTGTGCCACCATGCCTGGCCCCTCCTTTTCTTTATTATAGTTTAGACTGTCCTTTAAATTGCTGTGTAGCTCAGGCTGGCCCATGTGGTCCTCCTGTCTCAGACTCCTGTGTATAAATCACTTTTTAAAAAATCTTTTTTCTTAAAACATACTTTTTATTTTATTTTTATTTTTTTGCTGGGGATTGAGCCTAAAGGTAGTTATCACCAAGCTGTATCCTCAACTATTATTTTTTATTTTGGGTCATGGTCTCATTAAGTTGTCCAGGCAGGACTTGAACTTGTGATCTTACTGCCTCAGAACTCTGAAAGTGCTGGTATTACAGGCATGTACTGTTGTGCCTGGCTTGGCTCCTTTTTAAAAATTGGTTTGTTCCCCCTTAATTATCTTTAGATTTACCTATGTTAGAGGCAAGTCCTTTGTCAGATCTATATGATTGAGAATATTTTCTCCTAGTCTGACTTACCTTTGCCTGTTTTTAAGTGTGATGAGTGTATGGGTTTTGACATCATCTTTCTTTAGAAAAAAGGCAGTCTAAGTTTATTGTGCCTATGGTTAAGAGGGAGTCTGAGTTTTATACAAAACTTAATTTCTAAGGAGTTCATTAGATCACATTATTTTATTTGCTTTTCTGACTTTATAAATAATAGATAGGGGTAAGTTCTTCCACTCCCTGTCATGTACATGAAATAAGTGAAGAATCATCGTATTACAAAACTAAGAACAGATGAAGACCATAATTAATGCTTACATCACCTATGTTCTGTTGGCATTTTGCCTAGATGATATAGGATAATAACTGTTTTATATAGTTCTGATATGTTAGTGGCAATATAACAATAAAATGATAAAAGATTACTTTTTTTAAGATTGAATTTTTGACTTTTAATTACTTAGCCTGAAATAAGTTAAATTATTAATCAAAGTTATTTAATATATTTTAGTCAGGCGTGGTGGCACACACCTGTAATCTCAGCCCTCAGGAGGCTGAGGCAAGGGGATTGTTGTGAGCTCGAGATCAGCCTGGGCTACAATGTGAGCTCAAGGCCAGCCTGAACTGCATAGTGAGAGACTGTCTCAAAAAGATAAAAAACACTAGTGTGTGTGTGTATTTTTTTTAAATACTGTCATAGTTTTTCTTACTCTTCGGGTTTTAATTCTGATCTATAAACTTAATAACTTAATTCTTTAATGATTTCATTTTAATTTTAGCAGTCATTGATTTTGTTTTTCCTTTTTACTTTTTTATTAATTGGCTTACCTACTTTTTTGAAGTGCTAAGTAATTCCTTTGCTGTTGATTCAGACATAGTGATTAATATTTTAAAGGTTGTTTAGAATTTTACGTGACATAGTATCTCATTTTTTCCCCAGGGTATTAGCTTCTCTTAATCTTCCAGCAGCAATTGAAGATGTGTCTGGAGATACTGTACCTCAGTCTATATTGACCAAGTCCACGTCTGTGATTGAACAGGGAGGTATCCAGACTGTTGATCAGTTGATCAAAGAACTACCTGAACTACTACAAAGAAATAGAGAAATCTTAGATGAGGTATGCTTTAAAAGATTTTTTTTTCAGGTTAGAACTTACTGATCACTTGGTGTTCAGAAGGGATTAGGATTGGAGGGTTTCACAGGATAATATTTATGAGTTGGTGAATTTAATGTGGCTTAGTCTTCAGTCTCTTTTTTTTGAGAGAGGGTCTCACTTTGTAGTTCAGGCTCAGCCTGAACTCTCTGTGTAGTTCTGGCTGGCCTTGAACTCAGCCTCTTGAGTGCTGGGATTATGGGTGGCACTACATGGCTGGCTATCTTCAGTATTGAGAGGAATTCTGTTATGTGAGAATGTGTTCTAAGGCAAATGAGTGCATGTTTATAAAAATCATATGACTATTGTATTATGCTGGTATGAGAAATTACTGTCATGCAGACTGTTGAAAGGCTTCATAATTAATGATTTTTTTGTATATAGGCAGATTAGGTTTCTTGGTGAACATGGAATCAGACATGAAATGTTTTTACAAGGGGGTTGCATTTATTTACCAGGGGAGATACTTTTTTGTTAGTAGGAATGAAACATTCTTTAAAGTGTCTTTGGTTAAAACCAACTATTTACCACTGTAATTCTGTTTTTATGGTACCTTCACCTTCCTAATTGGTACATTTCATTTTTGAGCTGTAGATACATAATTGGTTATATAGGCTCTTGCCAGTTTATAAGACAAATATTTTCTTTCAGGCGACTTTTTTTTATCAGTACTTAGTAATCTATGATTTGATTTTTCAGTTAAATTTCAACGAATATTTTATTTATATAATTTCTAGATATTTTGGAAGGGAGGCAGAATACTTAAATACTTATGGCAGGGAAGCTTGTGAATAGGAATATTCAGCTCTGAAGACTATTTAAAAGATTAATACACATAAAGTAGTAAAATGCCTAGCCTTTTGGACACATAGCATATGCTTAACAAATTATAGCCATTATATTACTAGTGTGATGATGAATGCTGCAGTTATATATGCTTATGATAGTAATAGTTGTTATTTTTCAATGAAATTCAGCTTTTGCAAAAGATTAGGGTAGAAAATTACTGCATTATTGCTTGGAAAACTGCTATTAATGAGGGCTTCAACATTAATCACACAGTCAGCATTTATCAATGTAAACTGTGTAGATGTAATCAATAATAAAAAACTAAAAAGCAAATGGAGTTGATACTACATAATATAGTATTATCTTTGCTGTGCTGAACTCGTTAAAAATAGAATTGCAGGTCTCATTCCAAACCTACTGAATCAAAATACGCACTTTAATTAGAATCCTAGGTGATTCACTTGCTCATCAAAATTTGGCAAACATCGCTCTTGCAGTCATATATTTTATTTTCATAATAATACCTTACAGGTTTTTAAAATCAGTTGATTTGTAGGTCAAAGAAGTTTGATCTGGTGGTGGAACTGGAGGACATTAGAAATAGTGGATAGACCTAAAGAGAAGGAAGTGGAGAGTTTGGTTTAAAATTACACAGAGTGATAGACGCAAGAGGTAATTGATATTGTTAGAGAAGGCACACATTGAAAAATGCAGATAAAATCAAATGAAAAGCAGTCTGGGAGCATTTGGTAAATAGAATATCATAAATCTTCATTTAATATTTCACAGATAATTCAGTAGTAAGGTCTTAGAATGTGGAGTTATCTTTGGGTTTAATTTCCAGCTCTTACTGTGACCCTGGGCAAAGTATTTAACATCTTCATGTCTCAGTCGACTCATCCAGAAAATAGGGGCAATAGTATTTAGTCCATTTGATAGTTGTGAAGTGGGATACTATATGGGCCTGCTACTTACAGTTACATGTATGTTAAATATTGCTATATATTCTTGATCTTATAAGGTGCTTTTGAATGGAAGATGCATATTTGGTTTTTTGGATAGTAACAGTACCTAATGAAATATTATCAAGAATAAGAATATCTTTAGAAATGTAAATGTGGAAAAGAGCTCATTTTATACTGACATTAATATATGTCTGTTGTCTTTTTTGTTTGTTTTCTGAGACAAGGTCTCATTATATAGACCAGTCTAACCTTGAACTCCTTATGTGGTCCAGGCTAGCCTTAAACTCTTGTTCCTACTGTATCCACCTCCTGAGTGCTTGTTGTCTATCTTGATGTGAAATACTTTTATTTATCTTGTTTGATGTTACTAATAGCCTTGTGAGTTAGGGTTATTATTATTTCATCACTTGTACTTGGAAAGTCTCATTTTAATTAAGTTGTAAGTTGTGAACCAAATTTTAAAGCTGATACTCATTTTGAATTATCTCTTTCTCTGTCTCCCTCTATTATTGTTATTATTATTTTAGTGTTTTTTGTTTTTTGAGAGAAGGTCTCACTATGTAGTTCAAGCTGACCTTGAACTCATAGCAGTCCTACTGCCTCAGGCTCCTAAGTGCTGGGATTACAAGCTTGTGCTGGCATACTGCCACCACCTCTCTTTTAGCTTTTGGACATTTTGTTTTAGTCTGATTTTTAGGAGTTTGAAGTGTCCACAGTTTTTTTAAATAATAAATTTAGAACCTAAGAGATTCATGGTTAGAATGTGAACATTAAACCTTACATCCTTGCCCATGGATTCTATTTCCGTAGTTCTTTTTTCTGCATTCTCTTCATTATCCTCTTATGAATTCCTGTTAGATTGGTGGTGGTACTTCTGGATCAGTTCTTAGTATCGCTGTACTCTCTTTGTGTTCTTGTACTTCTTTCAGGCCAGCCTTTTAGCTTACTAATTAGTTCTTAATCTGGGCTCTTTGGCTCTTCAGCCATTCTGGTGTTTTTCTCTTTTAAATAGTCTTGTCCTTTTTCATTTCTAAGATGATTTCATTTCTATTGATTCTTTTGAAAATATCTCCTGTTTATCATACAACCACATTTTTTGAGGTAAAATTGACATAGCGTAAGATTCACCATTAACCTCTAAAGTGTGCAAGTGAGTGGCCTTTAGTAAATTCACAGTGTTGTATGAGCAAAATACTATTAAGCTGTGCGTCATTTTCATCTCCTGAAAGAAACTTGTACGTTAATAGTCAACTCCTCTTTCGTCCTTGTTCTCTGCCCTTGGTAACCACAAATTTAATTTCTGTCTCTGTGGATTTGTCTGTTACGTTTTCTGTAAATGGAATCCTACAGTGTTTGGCTCTTTTTACTTAGCATAATGTTTTCAGGGTTCATTCATATTGTAACATGGGTCAATACTTCATTTCTTTTTATGGCTAAGTAATACTACATTCTGTGGATGTACTATATTTTGTTTATCCATTCCTCAGTTGGTGAATGAGTTGTTCCCATTTTTGACGGTGTTGAATAATGCTGGTAATTGTGTGTAAGTTTTTGTTTGGAATCCTGTTTTAGTTTTCTTGGATATGTACCTAGAAGCAGAGTTGCTGGGTCATGTGGTAAGTATAACTTTTTGAGGAACTGTTTTCCAGAGTAGGTACATACGTTTATATTTCTTCTTGCATTATGTAAGGGTTCTAATTTTTCCACGTTCAGTACATACAGTTACCTTTTAAAAAAATACTTATAGCTGACCTTGTATGTTTGAAGTGATATCTCACTGTTTGTGTTTTCCTGATGACTAAGTATCTGTTCATTTTGCTTATTGTCATTTGTGTATCTTCTTTGGAGAAACATCTGTTGAAGTCTTTGGCCTTTAAAAGTTGTCTTTTTGTTGTTGAATTTTAAGTTTTTTTTTTTTATTTTGGATGCTAGGTCTTACTAGAAGATTTACAAATACACTTTCCTTATTTTCTTTTCACTCTTGATAGTGTCTTTTGATGTAGAAAATTTTTAATTTTGATGAAGTATAATTAACCTTTGTTTCTCTTTGTTCTTTTTGCTTTTGGTATCGCATTTAGGATTCTGCTGTTAAATATCTGAAGTTGGGAATACTTATCCCATTTTAGCTCTTCTATGTAGGTGTTTGGTCCATTTTGAATTAAATCTGGAATATGGGTGAGGTAAAGATCCAGTTGCATGTTTTAGCATGTAGTTATTTAACTCTAGCATCCTTTCTTGAAGAGAGTAATTTAACTAGCTTTGCAGAAAGTCATTAGATTCGTATGTCCAAGTTTATGCCATTACAACTTTGTTGTTATTACGATAGCTTTATAGTAAGTTTTGAAAAGAGGGAATGTAAGTTCTAAACTTTGTTCATTGTCAAGATTATTTTCTCTGTTTAAGATCTTTCGCAGTTCTGTAGGGATTTTAGGATAAGCTTACCCATTTCTATAAAAAAAAGTAGTTAGAAGTTCTGTAAAGATCAGACTGAATCTTTAAATCAGTTTGTTGAGTATTGCTATTCTTAACAGTATTAACTCTTCCAACCCACGAATTTAGAATGTCTTTCCATTTTCTTTAGGTCTTTAGTTTCTTTCAACAGCATTTTGTAGTTTTCAACATACAGGTCTTATGCCTCTTTGGTTAAATTTAGTCCTAAATCTTCTGTTCTTTTTGATGTTATTGTTAATAGAATTGTTTTTTAAAATTTCTTTTGTAGATTGTTCATTTCTAGAGTGTAGAAGTACGGCTGATTTTTATAGGTGGATTTTGCCTTCTGCAATTTTACTGAATTTATTTATTATCTCGAATAGTTATTTTGTGGAATCTTCAAATTTTCTACATATAAAGTTACGTCAGATATGGATAGGGAGAGTTTTACTTTCTCCTTATCAATTTGCATATCTTTAATCTTTCTTGCCTTGGTTATTATAGTGTAGAAATGGTGAGAGTAGAGATCCTTTTCTTGTTCCTGATTTTATGAGGAAAACTGTGTTTTACCATACAAAATCATATATTATTTAACATAGGGAAGTGTTCTGAGTAACACTCATTAAGTGATTTTGTCATTGTGCAAATGTAGCATGTACTTATACACATTTAAAATGGCTACAGTATTAGGCAATATAATGTTATGGGACAGCTGGTATATATCAAGTCTGTCATTGACTGAAACATGGTTTTGTACTGCATGACTGCATGAAGTTAGCT